TATATATATATTTTTTATTATTATTATCAGATTGAGTTTTATGAATTAAAAGAAGCTTTAGCTGAATGTTTTGTGATGTTGGTTGATGGTAAATTCTTCTTAAAGGTATAGTGGAGGATTTTCTTTTTCTGGGTGGATCATCAAAATGAGTGGTCCTCCTTATTGTCAATCATTCTGGTCATATGTTTACATCAGGCTCTCCTACCTGCTTGTCCCCATTTTCACTTTCCAGTTGTGAGTCTGACACAGAGGAAAAATGGCAGATATTCTTTTGGGAACTAAGCTCGTATGAGCAATGCAAACAACAACTTTTAAACAGAGCGTGCACGAGGAGAAATGGGCTCGTGCACGCTCTTGTACACGTGTAATAGGAGTGGTTAAAGGGTTATAAATGTTTTTCAAAACATTAACGAACATCCTCCCCTATACCTTTAAACATTTTACATCATATGTTGAACCTCTTTCCTTCGGCTTTCAGTTAGCAGAACCTCAACCTCCAAACCTGTAAAGTTTTTCTTCTTTTTTGATGCCTTTTATTGTGACTGACCACCATCTAACAAGCGCTGGAAGCCGCCCCCTTATAGGACATTATTGGGGCTTTCATTTTTTTACATTTCTCAGAACTCACGCAGGTGGACTGCATCAGGTTTACCAGGATCATTTACGCTCATTTTCTGAAGTTAAGAACGTTTGTTGAATCTGATATGGTGCATTACTGAAAGCACACGATAGGAGAAAAAGTGCAAATGTTATGAGAGGAACAAGCAAATGTTTTTGCATAAAGCCCTATGTTTTCATATTTTACACATTGATTGATTGATCGATTGACTTTATTGATCTCACAGTAGAGAAATTTACTTGTTACATCAGCTCAAATAGTCAAAAAGAAGAAGGTACCAAAGGAAGAGAAAGGTGCATAGGGGTATATACAGTATATACAGTGCACACACACGCCACACACATATATATTGCCATAATGTTAGTGACATAAGTTCACTAATCAGCCCCTTTTGAACAAACTGATTGAAGTGCTCTGCACTAAATAAAAAAAGAACAGTTATTTTGAGAAAATTATATTTTAAGGAATATTTCCTAAAGAGATCTAGCTACCAAGCATCTGGTCCATCAGCTAATCCAATCTATTGCTTTAGAAACTGTTAGAAAAAAAAACACTTTAAAATCTGGACAGATAAAACTGTAGAAGTTGAAACAAACTACAGACTTTCGGACTTAAACTTGTAGAGTGTTTTTTCGTTCATTTAAAGTCTCTAAAATAATCCCACCATCTAACTGATAGAAAGTAACAGAAGTGGCTCTTTAAGTTTCCAATTACAGATAAATAAAAGCATCTCTCTGTGAGGCGGCTGTATATCCTCCCCATCTGGATTTGACCCATCCCTCTCTCCGTCCTTTTTTAGTCCCCCCCAGAGATCACCCTTTTCCTTCCATCTGCACATCTCAGGCCTTTTTACCAGTGCTTTCAGGGGAACTGGAGCAGATTATAATCTCAGGAAATGCTTTTATTGCTTTTATTGTTTGAATCACACGGTGCTATCGGTGTCTGAAGCACAGCTGCTGTTCCAGCAGGCTGATAATCTACCTTATGTAATGTGCATTCATATCTGTTTTTGAGCAAGCAGCCGGAGTTTGATGGACCTGCTGGTGAGTCGTTTTAAATCTGGTTTTAATTTGGGCTTTTTATCATCTCTGACAGCAGGAGGGAGCAGATGATTAGAGCATCTCAGCAGAAAAACACCCACAGGTTCTGCTCTGGCTGCTCCGGATTAAAATTCACATATTATTAGACATGAAGCCTGCATGGTTTTATATGTTGTTAAAATCCTTAGAAATAAGCTCATAGAGTAAAAGTAAATACAGGTTATTATGAGTCACATTTAAAAATGTTAACAGCAACCAAGATGCATCTTTCAATGGACGAACTGATTTATTTCCACATGTTGTCGAATTAAAAACAATAAAACCTAAAAAGATTGGCATTTATTTTATTTTTTTAAACACAGAAAATCTAACATGAGAATAAAAATAGTCTTCTAGATTCAGTTAGGTGCATTATTGAATTATTATTTTGATCAACATGAAGATAATCATTCAGAAAACATATAAAGTTCAATATAAAACGCAGTAATCTGAGTGTCTATGGATCACATTTCCCTCTGGGATAATAAAGTATTTTTAAATTAATAATTTAGATTTTATTAGAAAATAAAATGAGTAAATCTTATGATTATCACTATATTGGAAATAAAAAAAACATAGAAGCAGATATGTAAAATCAGTTGTAATAGATTAAATACATATATTTTATTAATAAATTATTACTTTAATAATTATTCTTACATATTTGAATTTAAAATTTGCTATGAAAATAAACTATTATGAAAAAAATACTCGAATTATATGTTTTATACATTTGTTAACTATTTAAATATCTGACTACCATACAGGGAACCCTTGTACAAATAACACATTTATTTATAAATTTAAATTTGAAACAATACAATTCAGAAATGAAACCTTAAAAGATTTTAATTAAGAGGTTTTGAGATTTGCTCAGATGTTGTTTGTTGAAACTTATTTTTCATATGTAATTTTTTCAAATTGTGAAGTTATTAATATTTTTTTACTTTATATTTAGTTTTTAAACACGGGCAAGCACAGCAGGTGAGGGCTAGAGCACACATACAGTATATAGATCAGTGAATGAATCTCAAGAATATTAATAAATAACACATATAGACGAAAACCCAGGAGCAGGGTACACAACTAACCATCAGAAGAGGCAGATATATTGTCCAAAAGTAATTTGTTGCGAGTCTCACCTTTTGCAGGGAGAAAGGCAATGTTTCCATTCCGTGGATCTGGTGTATAACGCTTATAAAGAGCCTCATGGTGGGGGGGCTTGACTGAAGCCAGCATTTGGTGATTGCAATCAAGAAAATCTTTAGTAAATGTGTGTCAATTGAACTGAGCCCTTCAGGGAGTTTTCCAAGGTATAAGGAGGTAAAAGTAAAGTCCAACACTGTGTCCAGGGTTTCAGAGATGATCTGCTTAACATTGTACCTAAAGACCTTCAATTTAGGACAGGACCAGTAATAATGCAGATAATCTACAGAAACCACCCCACACCCTCTCTAACAGGACACCCCTACACCACTTAACCTCGGCTCATGCTCTGGTGTAATTAAAAAAACTCATAAGGTTCTTCCAGCCAAAATCCCACTATTCCATAGAGTTACAGTTGAGACCAAAGTTACTCTGAGATTGTAATGTTGGCTTCCTTAGTACCAGTGTAGGCATCCATAAAGACTTGCATTATCCCTGGATTTAACCCTATGGCCTGGTTATACTCCCGCAGCAGTGTGTCGCAGTGAGCATGTTGCAGGTATAACGCAGACATTTTTGATTTACGCTCAATATTGAAGCGTGGTCTGCGCTATGTTTATTCCACGCCACATCAAAAGGGGAAAATAAGGAAATAGCTGTGAGTCTACATACAGCCGAGGAAGTGGGGCAGGTTTGTGTGACAACAGAGGGACATGAGGGCAAAAAAGAGCGGGGATCCAGGTGGAAAAAGGGTCCCAGCGTTCTCGCACACCTCCCTCTTCTAGCTGGTCCAACTTCACAAGTCGTTTCCCACAATGGCGATCATACAAACAAAACAGGCCTGTAAGGTACCAAACAGGAAATACGCATAGCATAGAGCGGATGTAGAATTGGACCAATCAGAGGCCTCCTGTCTGCGGCACTGTCTGCTGTCACCTACAATTATGGAGAGGTGCAGCAGAGAGTCTGCGGAAGGGGCGGGGACGTCTCTGCGTTCATTGCAACACACACGTAGACAACCTGGTTTTCGAAGTATATCAGTATATCAGCCTTAAGTCAAAGGTCATTATTTCCCTCCTGTAAAAACTCTGCACCTGCAGATAACGAAACAAATCTCCCCTTCCAATCTCATAAATCTGGCATAAATCCCCGTAATGTAGTAAATGTGCATTTTTTTTATTATTTCACAGAAGAAAGTGATTCCCTGTTTGGCCCACAGCTTGAATTTATGATCTAGACATGCTGGAAAAAAAAGCATGGATGGTACGCAGCCCAACTCAACACTCCTATCTGTTTTTCTAGATCGTATTTTTTAACCACCTCAGTCCACTTTTTCAAGAAAAAACTTACACAACGGTTTTAGAATTGGTATACTTAAGCCTGTCTAAGGAACCAAGCATAGATTTTATAGGGAAGTCCAGTATAGAAGGCTCAATGTTCTTCCATTTAGACTCGTAGTTTGGATAAAATTGTTGATTTTTTGTTAAATGTATGAATCATATTTTTTTTCAAAATGTAAAAGAAAAACATTTCTCCAGATTTTACATTTTACAAACATCCATGCAGGCCAATAGAAATGCGTTTTTCGCATCTCAATCAGAGTAAAGTCCCCAGAAGTTAAGAGAATTCGTCAAACTCGGTCTGTAAAACAGAAATAAAAAAACTAACCATAATATAATCCGTAAAAAGAAAAAAAAATTGAAGAACATTTTGAAGTTTTATTGCTGGATTGCTTTCTTTAAAATGTTAAAATATGTTCTATACAACAATAATTGAAAAAGATTCCCTGTATAGGCATCCAGCTCAAAAAAATGTTCCATTCTGACCTGCTGTAGAGACCCCTGAATAAAGGAGCCGCCAGAAGGACAACAAATCGAGGCTATTTAAATGAAATAACTTAAACGAGTGCATTGAAATAAGAAGTAGCCCATTTTAAATGTGAATCAAATAGATTTGATCTTTATAAATGTTCATTATATCTGAGGGCAGATGAATCACAGCTGTCGTATCTGAGGCTTTATATCCTTGGAGTTTTCCATGTGAGCGCGTAGAAACATGAAGCTGTGACGTGTCGGCCTCCTGCAGGGAACCTCTAACTGTGGCGTCACTGCTGTGACTCAGGTGTGTAACCTCAGTTTGTGTTTGTTGTGTTTCAGGATGCACACCCCGATCCCGAGGACACGGCGGGAGACGACGACTCCATGCCCGCCTGCACTGTGAGTCCCTGCAGGTTCCTGTGTGTCTCAGAGTCTGACTGGCTCTTATTGACGAGTATACAACCTTTGCGACTCTCTCGGCCTCTTTCCCATGTCTGGGTGGCTTTTAGTTGTGCTCTGCGATGATTTATTCGCTGTTTGAGGAAAATGTACGCCCACCGCTGCTGTTAGATAATTGCTGGTATGAAAGTGAAGCACAATGTGGCTCACTTTTCAAATCATGAGTCATCTTAACACAGAATAAATCCTCCCTCCAACCTTCGTCACATTTTAGGAGCTTGGATTAGTTATTAATGGAATTAATCTTTTCTTCTACAGTGAACGTTTTTATTCCCTTCTTTTTGCCGTCTCAGACACAGACAGGCGGACTTTGATTATTACACATTATATTACAACAAAGAAAGCATGTTTGGTAATTTGTCTCCCTTCTTAAATTGTGATTGATATAAATACACTGGTAAATAAGTAGACATTTCTTAAATTAAGTGTATTTACCCTTAATTTAAGTAGGTAAATCAGATAGTTTGCCAATGGAACGGGTATTTATACTCTCAAAATAAGATAAGATAACATGCACTTGAAATAAGACAATGCAATTGTGTCTTCTTATTTTAAATGTAAATTGTTTCCCCAGTGTATGGGTCCAATGTGAAGAGTTTTGCATGCATTTCTATTTACACCCCTTTATTCTGATGTCCCCAAATAAAACCTAATGGTACCACCTGCCTTCAGCTGTCACCTGATTGATCATTAGAGTCCAGCTGTGTGAAATTGATTCCCAGGATAAATCCAGCTGTTCTATAAAGGATAAACAGCAGCACATATAGAGGAAGGTGTATGATTTTAAATCCATGTTCATTAATAAATCAATCTAAAATTATTGTATTTAATCCTTCGGCTAATGAATAACTTATACAGCTTTATTTAAAAAGGATTGAAAGTGTCTTTTAAAGACATAAGGACATTTTTTTTTCTTTTACAATAAGCAGAATAAAAAAGTGGTACATTTTTAAATCTTAACAGTTTGTTGTGCCAGCTGTATTAAATACTGACTGAAACAAAACATTCTTTTCTTGCTCATTATTAAGCTAGACATTTAGAAGACAAATCCTGTTAGGCTGTTGAATTAAAAAAGATAATATATGTGATACACTTATATTTACAGTTGGGGTATGTCGCTCTAACGTACTGTCAGACTATATAGCGCCTTGTTTCAATGAAGTAGAAGCTAACTGTGATTTAGCATTCATTGCTAGGAGACACTTTGTGCTGCTAGTGGCACCTTTAAACTGGTGGATAAAATGGTGCTATCTGTGCGATAACTTTGAGTTTTTATAGCTCCGTTCACACCGCAGCCTGAAGTGACCCAAATCCGATTTTTTTCCAATCCTACCCAGGCCACTTGGCTATGTGGTCCTGAATCCGATACGAATCTGATCTTTTCAAATGCGACCTGTTTCTGAACGGCCAGGTCGTATTCATCCGACCTGAACGTTATTAATACCCGACATAGATCACTATCTGGGTCTTGCTATGAAGAAGCGGCAAGAAAATCAACAACCATGGCGGACGATGATGTCGAGAGTGGTATTTATGTTTAATCATCTTGAAAAGATTGAGTTTTTATGGTTGGGAAAGATCGCTAGATGCACTCCAGCACTCCCATCAATGTTTACTTCCATAAACACAGAGCACGCTGGCCTGTCACATCACTACATTCTCTACTGCGTATGCGGGACACTTGTGTTATATGAATGCAGTTCACACAGGAGATCACATATATTTGGAAATGTGAACGGCAGCTCAAATAAATCGGATTTCACATAAAAATCGGAATTGAGCATCAAGGCCTGCCGTGTGAACGTAGCCTATGTTTACTAAAAGAACTGCATAAAGTTCATTCTGCATCCTAGTCACCGTTAGCGAGAATAAATAATCCTGGACCAGATTCTGGATCCCTTCATGGTTCTTTAGCATTGCTTCATTAGCAAATAACAGTAAGCTTCCATAGAGAGCGCCCACTAGTGGACGGCAGCAACATGACATCACTAAAATAGATACTTTCTATATGAAATAATTAGATGAAACAAATTTGAATCTAATAAACCATTAACCAACATTTTATCATAAGTTTATTATATTTTTTAATCCTTAGTGTTCTTGGTCTGTCAGAAGGAAAGCTAGCAGCCTAAACCAGGGGTGTCCAACGCTGCTGTTCTACCACCTTTAGATGCGTTCCTGGTTAACCACGTGTTTTCATGCACATGTTCTACAGAGCCCTGCTAATGACCCAAATATGTGATTCACAAACATTACATCTAAAACAGAGTTTTAAAAGTAGAACTTCCCAGAGCTGTGAAGGCAATAACTACAATGCTAGATTTTTAAAAATCTAAATCGGACACTTTTTCTTAAAATAGGTGCGTTTTGTTTTTAATTCAGGAGAGAAGTGAGACACTTTGGCAATGGAAAAAGACTACTTACATTTAAAATAAGAACAAAACTATTGCATTGTCAATTCCAAAAAAGTAAAACATAAATCCCCTGGAGTTTGTTTCCAAGTTTGAAGAGTTTTTGCTTCCCATCCAAGAAGCTTTTTTAAAATCTAGTGTCAAATGCATTTTATCTAATTATCTCATTTTAAGAGTAAAAATACTTATTCCATTGGCAAATCATCTTATTTACTCACTCAAAATAAGGATAAATACACTCCATCTAAAAACTTTCTATTTACTTTTCTAGATGCCTCTGATTGGTCAACTTTCTACTTACTTTTCTAGAACGTTTTTGCAGTTTATGCCTTTCACAATAAACAATAAATCAATTAATCGCATGATAGATTTAAGTTACATCAATAATTAACGTTTGCATGCTTGGTTGTTTTTCTTATGTCTGTTTACACCAAAGTGTGTTGTTTCCTTAGCATAGCGTTTGTAGCATGAGAACCTACCTGAATGAGGAGCAGCAAACCAGAGAAATGCTAGCTGAAGTTTTGGGAAACGGAGATGGAAATAGTTTCTAAGCCAAACGCAGCAGCTGCAGTGTGGGAGCACTTTGGATTCTAACCCAACACCTTGCTGCATTGCCACGTGCATGTGTTTATCCTGTTTATGTGCATTCTTTTCCAAGTGTTTTGACAAAATGTCATTAGAGCTCCACTGTGATAATGAAAGGTATTGATTTTTCTTTGGGCTCATTGCAAAGTTGTAGGACAATCCTGGAAGACAAAATATGGTGCAGCTCCAGTTCAGTCCCTCAGTTCTACCATCCAGAAACATTTAGATGCATCCCTGCTCCAACACACCTGAACACAATTCTCTCGTCTACTTCCAGTCATTCTGCTAACTGTCCGATCCCACAGAAAGGACACGTCTAAAGGCTGGTTTATGCTCAGAAAGCAGGTCGTCTGCATGTGTGTCGCAGTTAACGCAGATATGCCTCCGCCCCTTCTGCAGACACTCTGCTGCACCTCTCCAAAATTGACAGGAGGCCTCTGATTGGTCAAATCTACATCCACTCTACACTGTGCGTATTTCCTGTTTGGTACCTTACCGGATTGTTTTGTTTGTATGACCACCATTGTGGAAAACGACTCGTGAAGATGGACCAGCTAGAAGAGCGAGGTGCACGAGAACGCTGGGACCCTTTTTCCACCTGGATCCCCGCTCTTTTTGGCCCTCATGACCCTCCGTTGTCGCACAAAATTGCCCCCACTTCCTCTCCTCCTCGGCAGTATCTAGACCCACCGCTAGTTCCTGATTGTCCCTCTTGCGTTATGGCGTGGAATAACATAGCACAGCGACAAGCTCACTGCGACACACTGCTGAGGATAACCAGGCCTTAATGGCTGCCGTAGAAGTTGGCATAGCAGATTTCCTGCATTAGACTGGGCCTAGGGTGGAGGTTCTCCTTCCAGCAGGACATGCAGCCTAAACACACAGCCAGGGATACTCATTGCTTAAAGCCAGGTATACACTGTGCAATACTTTCAATCATTGCACGCAACTACAGCTCCACTGTACCATGAAATCTCAGGGATTAAAAGTTCACAGCTCACGATGTATGTTCTGTGCGGCCCGACGCTCTGATGTGATCTACCTGCTCACACTGCACGTCTAAAAACCAATCCTCGGACTCAGCGCCAAGACATGGCTCTGGTCGGACTCGTCAATCTGTAAGAAGAAGAAGAGCAACTCTCCTGTTTGCACATCCACAGTGCTTGAGGTTCTGGTAAATCGGCTCATAGACGCTCAAAGCTCTGCTTCAACAGCAGGATTTATCCACAAACACCTTACGATAGCCGACTAAATTTCAAACATTTTCGATTCTTCCCTGACCTCACGATTCCTGATCTGGAGGTAGTCGTGAGAGGCTGATCGCCCCTTGTTACACGACGCAGGACGGACGATGAGGCTGAAACTGCGCCAGATTGAAAAAATCTTGCCCGACTGCAAAATCAGCCTGAAAAGGGCAAAAAAATCAGCCCGGTTTAATTGTGTTTGAATGGCCTCATCAAATTCAGAACAAATTCCTTCTCAGAATGTTTAAAAAATGGATCTCCTCAGATGTTCTCCATCCAACCTGATGAAAGGTGTTTTAGAACATTGGGCTAAAAGTGTGAAGTAGTGCTAATCTGCTAGCAGCAACCAGGATTAGGGGGATTTTTAAGAGCTAATGCCTGAGGGGGACTGACTATTAAAGCAAACTACTCTTTTAGATTTGTATTAGTGACACATCTTGTAAACCACGCCGCGTTTTCCTTCCTCTTTATACTTCTGCTTTACTTTGTTCTGTTACGTAAAATACTCTGAAAGCTGTGGCTGGAATGAGACGAAATATGAGAACAATTAATACTTTGACAAGGAGCTCTTGGCCCCAGAAATCCCCTTCAGTTATTCTCATCAGGTTAAACTTCTAATCTCCATGAATCCTATTTTAATTGGTCAACAGTTTAACTTTGACCCTATATTCAGCAAATGTTAGGTTGAGATGGATGTGGT